AGAACTCCTATCAATACATATGATACAAGAGTTCCCATTTTCTGTTCTTCCCAGCCAATACTTTGCTAATTTAATAGGAAAAACATATAGTATGTCATCGTTCTTTTTTGGATTAATTTAGATTGAACTTTTTCATGTGTTGATTGGGTTAATAGAAATATTTTTAATGAATTTGGCTTTGCTCTTGAAAGTTTTCTTAGTATCTCTTTTGCCATATCTATTGAGGTACTAAAAAATGCTACAATGACAGTTACAGCGAAACCAATTGCTCACACAGGGGAATACCACATCTGTGAGAGTTAATGTCTCTCTGCTGGACTTAACATATTTTTCATACAAATAACATGTGCCTTCTACATTCATTTGCCAACTTTCTCTCCCCTGGGAGGTACTTTTGTAAATGTGCTATTCTAATTAAAAAATAATAATAATAACACAAAAAAGCAGGCATAGCAGTGTATATGGAAATACCTGCCGGGGAGAGGGAGCAATTGGGAAACAAACATGGACGGTGTATATTATTTGTGTAAATATACAGCAATGTAAATGTGGAGCTGTTATTACTGTGAGGATATTCTGAATTAATCTAATTTTCCAGGAACAGGGTAAGAATAAACATTGCTTCCCCTTGATACCTGCATAAAGAACCTCTATAAATATTTGTTATATGAATAAATATGATTAAAAAAAAAGATACCTAAACATAATTTTTGAAGTCCTGGTGTGGCACTGTAGGATAAACACTGGACTGCTAAATGCAAGATTGGCTATTTAAACCAGCGGCTCCTTGGAAACCCAACACAGGGTCGCTATGAGTTGTAAGCAACTTAACAGCACTTAACAACAACAAACATAATTTTTAGAATTCTGTTCCAAGTAATTTGATTCCTTACATAGTTCATAAATAGAATGTACTTTTAAGCTTTACAAAATGCTTCTTTAGACATATATGCTTTAATTTTTATAATAACAACCCTATGAAGTAAGTGATGTAACTTTTTTGCATTTGAAGAAACCGTAGCTCAGATATACAAAGTGAGTATCCTTTCTGTTCTCATCCAAGCCTCTGATATTTATCTTAATTGTGAGCCTGGACTCTACAGAAAATCGAAAACAAGTATTAGTCCTAAATAGTGCTTGTACTATTCAGAATATTCACCAGAAAACCCCAACACAGTCCATCCAAAACACAATGGTTTGGGGTGTAAATATTGGTGGCTTTTGTAATTATGAGCCCCAATTAGTACTGTAGGATAAGTACTGGACTGCTAACCACAAGGTCAGCTGTTCAAACCTACCAGCCACTCCTGGGAAACTCTATGCAGGTTGCTAGGAGTCAGTTGGAAGTCACTCAATGGTGCTTCACAACAACAACATAAAATGATTTGATAGAGTAAAATAAAGCCAAACAAAACAAACCCTACAACAGTAACAGAGAAGCTGAAAATCAAATGACATCCAGAGGTGCTTTCCTATCCTATCTATGGGAAGTGACTAAAAATATTTAACTTTTCAATAAAATTTAGACATGGAATCATTTACCAAATATTTATGGAGCACTTAATTTGTATTAGTCTCTAAATTAGGTAAGCTAGAATATAGGCTTATAAGTGAAAGATATTTAACATTATCTTCTATGTAACATGTATGTTGGTGTCTTCAAGTTGGTTCCAACTCATGGCTTAAAATCTTCACTGAAGCAGAAAGCCTCAACTTTTTCTGGTGGAGTGGTTGGCAGGTTCAAACCATGGACCTTGTGGTTCAAAGTCCAGTGCTTATTGTACAGAGCCACTGCACTTATATAACATTTATAACTTTTCCTGAGTTCTATGAAATTTAAGTACAAGGTAAAATGAGAGTTGATAACTAGGCCAGAGAGAGCCTTCCTAAAAAATGGACCTTTGAGGCATTAAGGATGAGTAGGTGCTGGTGAAATGATGTATAATAAATTACTTCTAGGCGATTGAGGGAGTCCTGGTGTGGAACTCTAGGATAAGCCCTGGACTGCTAACTGCAGAGTTGGCAGTTCAAATCTACCACCCACTCCTTGGAAGCCCTATACAGGGTCAATATGAGTCAGAAGTGACTCAAGGCACTTAACAACAATAACAAGACTATTGAGGGAACTGAGAGAAAACTGGTTAGTAGCATGAGGGTTATATGGTGAGATGTGGAAAAATAAGACTCTAAGGAAGGCAGTTGCTTTATTGCTGATGTGTTCAAAGGAGTCATTTTATGTATCATTCCCAGTACAGTTTCAGTTACATAGATCATTTTTGAAACTATGAAATTGACTTCAGCTCCAATTTTGAAACACCTGGGGGAAAAAAACGTATGTTTAAACAAAACCAAAAAAGAATGATTTGCAGTATTATGATCACCTTCTTATTTAAGAGGCCTGGCTCAAAAAGGCTTTTGATTTCTTATAAGAATTAAATCTATCCACAATGGGGTTTATGTATATATACATTGTTGTTGTTAAGTACCATCAAGTCGGTTCCAACTCATAGCAACCCTGCATAGGGTTTCAGAGGCTGTAAATCTTTATGGGAGCAGAAAGCCTCATCTTTCTCCCACGGAACCACTGGTAGTATCAAACTGCTGACCTTGAGGTTAGCAGCCCGACTTGTAACCATTATACTACCAGAGATCGATCTATCTATCTATCTATCTATCTATCTATCTATCTATCTATCTACCTATCTATATAAAATCACTGACAGTGTAAGCTGTGAAATTTACTTGAAAATAAGAATTTTTTAAAATGTATATGTTTCCACTTGTAGAAATTGATCTTTTCTTAGGCATGGAAAATCAAATTATGATCAGAGACTTCATAATTAAAAACACATATGGTTGATTTTTCTGGAATTAAATGAAAGAATTTGAAATTAGTGAGAGTTAAATTTTTGGAGTTATTTTCTCTAAAATGTCTTCATTAAGTCTCTGTCGGGTAGTCTTCTTGTTCATCTATAGAGACTGGCTTATTTTTAAACATATATGCATATTTTGTGTATGTGGGTGTGGGGAGTACATTGTTAAGTGCCATCAAGTCAGTTGTGACTTATAGCGATCTAGGATCAGGTTTCTGAGGAGTGGCCAGTGAGCTTGAACTACTGACTTCGCGCTTCAAACTGACCTTGCGGTCCAGGTATTAACCTGCTGTGCCACACCAGGTGCACGTGCATGCACAAATAAGCAATGTGGAATGATAGGGAATGACTAGAGGAAATGGAGTCTGAAGTCCTCCATTCAGACATTCTTTCAATCTCTTACAAGTTGTATGATCTTTAAACCCTTTGAAGCCTCAACTTACTTTCATCCCTAAAATGAAATTAGGTAATGGCATTAACACTGCACATAGCATTTTCTGTATAAGAAGATAAAAAGCAGAAGTAATTTGTAAACTAAAAATTATTTTAATATTATTATGTATATATACCTCTATGTTTATCAAATATTTATGTACCTATAAAAATTAAAAATAATAAATAAGAGTCAAAATTAGGGATACTCTTAGTTGAAGACATCTATAATTGAATAGCTTAGTTTAAAAAGAAATAAATCAGTGGTTTAAAAATTAGTATTATTACAGGCTTGTTCATTCTACAAATGACTTAGCCACTTAAAATAATCCATTTCTTGTATTTAACACACACATGCACACCCTAAGAGGATTTAAAAAGTGGCTATGGTTTTTGTATGTAAGGAGTCCTGGTGTGGAGCTGTCGGATCAGCAGCGGGCTGTGAACTACAAGGTTAGCAGTTTAAATCTACCAGATGCTCCTCCGAGACCCTATATAGGGTCACTATGAGTCAGAACCGACTGAACGGCACTTAACAACATAATGACAATAGTACTTTTTGGAAGGAGATAAGGTAGAGTTGAGGTGAGAAAAGGGCTACAAAGATAGACCTATTAAAGAAGGACCCATTAAAGATCAATAAAAAGTATTAAGCATTTCTAAAAATGATTAAAATTTTTTAGTTTGCACAGGACCTTTAGAGTATCTTTTCTAGAAAGATTAATGCAACTGGATATAGAAAATTTGAATTTTACCTAAAAGAGTATTGTACATTGAGAATGGGCACTGATCTTGGGTGCCCAAATACCACTGACACCTTTTATAAATCCTCTGACTTCAATTGTGATTTTTGGGTTGGTGCAAAAGTTCGTATTTAATGTGTGCCATTTAAGTTCATCTTAATTGATGAAGTATTTTTAAACTTACATGAGCTATCATGCAGTCACTATGTTTGGCCTTTAGAAAGGAACCAGATTGAACGCTCTCCACTATTCTTTAAAAAGAAATAAAGACATTTAAAAATTGCATAAGAAATTACGATGACTAATCCCATGTGCTCCAAAAGTCTCTTTAAAGGCAGGACTTTATATGCAGGCCATAAAAAGCCTGTTATGTGTCATATTTGCAATGCTTTAGTATTGCAGGAGAAGGATAGACCACGTACTTTTTTTTTTTTTTTTTTTTTAGTGTCATTTGGATCTTGAAGACTGTTCATTAATTGAC